ATTACATAAAGGACATACAGTAGGAGTATGGATATTTGATTCAGGAAAATGTTACAGTTTTGATATGAAAACTGGCTCCCACATATATAACATTTTTACCAGTCTGTTACTAGCCTTGTTACCAATCTAATATTTTTATACAACATCCTCTTACTTTTATATCCTGCTTTTTATCTCCATAGTGGGAATGAGATTGAGATAAAAATAGTGCATCCCTGCTCAATTATGCCTATAAGTTTTAGACCAGAGTTTTGCAACCTTTAAAATCCAAAGAGCCATTTTGCCTCGAGTACCGCTAATTAAAAGGTGCTGCAAATATCAGATGGCCTTCTTATAAAACACAACTTATAATTTTATTGAAATATCTGCTGTAGTAAGTCTGTTGCCATTTTAGACAACCAACAGATTTTTTTTTTGATAATTTGGGGTTTTAAAATAAGAGAAAACTAAACATTTCATAAAAAGGAAGCATTGATTTGCTTCTATAATATATTATTAGATGTAAAAATGAAAAAAAAGAAAGAAAAAAAATACATAAATTTCAAGCTAATAACAAAAAAAAAAATTGACGTAAAACACATTTCTGGTTATTAAAATTGTATTCTTTTGTGAAAATGAAATAAAAAACCAGCGAATGCTTCTAAGACTGCTATTTGCAATGATACTATATCCAAAACCAATAGTTAGCTTATTTATAAGACTTTATAAGTCATTAAGAGTCATTGTAGAGAGTCCAAAGAGCCACTTGCACCTCGGGATCTGCATGTTGACCCCATATTAGATGAACTACTGTCTGCTGACTGGATTTATTATAAGCAACATACTGAGTCCATGGAAGTGGAAAAACAATATTGTTTAGAGATCAAGCCACAAACCTAAATGCATATAGATTTAAACACCCTTAAAGCTACAGGTGGCGTATTTTCCATTTTGTATACATATTGCTGCTGACATCACTGAATAAACTTTCTGGTTTCATAAACCTTCACTCTTGGATTTAACCTTAAAACAGTGGGATCTTAACCTTGTCATAACGCTCATTGGCACAGTGCTGTTCAGAGCTACACTCCTCCTCTTTCTTGTCCATTTGTCTTTATTGAGACACTATCGGGAATTGGATTTAAAGTAAATGAGACACAGTACCAGAGGTTTGGCAAGGATTTGAACATCAAGGTAGGGAATTTGCATTCAGGCCAAGTCGGGCGGCAAATTAGTGATGTCTCTGTGTTGGCACGAACCATAAATCACCACAGGCAGTTTGCTGGGATGCTGTGTGCAAAGACAACTCATTTACATCTGGTTTTTGCTCCCTTCTTCTATCCCCTTTTTGTATCTCAACATAAGGTGTTTGAAACTGCAAAAAGCATTTGAGCTAACCCTCCTGTGATGTTACAGATAATGTTTTTATGTTTGTTTGTCAGACAACAGGAGTGGAACTACTGATGAAATGTATCAACATCCCAGAGACCAACGACTCCGTGGTAAGCCAATGAAGATATGAATTATTAGGATTTACAGAGGGTTACAGGAGAATTCATGAAAACCTAATTTCCTACCAGAGATGCAGAGATTTTTAGCAGCCATCGGAATAAAGTAATCACATCCGGACATCATTTATATTTCTTATCAGCTGTTTTCTGTAAAATTCAGCAACTGTTCAGTAAGACTACTGCACCTGTTGACAAGCATTCTCATTCATTGTGAGAAAAGTGCTTCAATTTGTCTGGGAAAGTTTGTTCTTTAAAAAATATTTTTTCCAAACCAAAATCAAAAAAAAAGGTTTAATTTAAAAGAATAACAACTAAGAAAATTGGAACCAATTAGACCTTTTTCAAGTTTGTGTTATCTGAAATACCAGTGTAACTTTATAATTTCCTTTAAAGGGAGAGTATGTAAAATTTCAAGCACAAACGTATGTAAATTGAAGGAACAATCACAGCAGATGAGCTATAAAATTATTTCTTGAGTATTGATTCTGTATTTTCCAGCCCCCTTTTTTTTTTGCCCTCCTCTGAATTTGTCTTAAAAACCAAACTCTCCACACCGGAACTGATCGTTTTTTTTTTGTTTAGTGTTTTTGACTCTGAATGGGTATTTTGTTAGCATCTCTGAATGAAAAGCACTGCAGTTTTCCAATAAAAAGTGATCAATTATTTTGTTTGTTTGAAATTTAGAGAGAAAAAACTCAAGACATTCTAAATCCATGTGCTGAACCGCAATAGGGATAGAATTACAGTGATTCAACTACAACTTTTTATTGCAAATACTTTAAAACTAAGATAAATTGAAGAATAATCTGTTAGAAATCTGCAGAAAATGTGTTAGGTACCAGGACATTGTTCAAAGTACTTATCTATTTCTAAACTCTAAATCAACAAGGGTTGAAAAATGAGAGCTTAAAACCATTACTCAGTGAGAAAAAAAGTTTCCTCAGACATGTAACATTGTTAGTTCCACATCAGTATTCACTAAGCGATATAGCAGGACTGAAGGGTAAGATGAATCTTTTTGTTAAACCATGTAATTTGACCAAATCTCTGCAGGTAACACCAGTGCTGTTCTTTTTCTTCTAGGAGCTCTATATCTTAGACTCTGCAGGGAAGGAGACGCTAGTGGAGAGCTGTGAGAAAATGGTCAGAAGCTGTTCTGGAGTTTTTCCTAATGAAGTTTTCCATCTAGACCTAAATGCCCTTTTAGACTTCAGGAGAGCTACTTTACTGTTGTTCACTTTGCATATAATAAATTAAGTAGATAGAATTTCTCTGCAATCTCCTGCTGTACCACTCACAGCCATTCGTCATCTTGCCGTCTACAGTGGGGGCAGCCATCTCTGCTGTGTCTGGTGTTTGATTTGACCAATGAGAAGTCTTTTGCTAACTGCAGCTATTGGATGGAAAGAGTCCACGGACACTGCAAAGGTCTCCAGATACCAGGTACAAAACACTCAAGGACAAAACATACATACTCTCATAAAAACCTTTACTGAGATGGAGTTAGTTTATTACAAACATATGAAATTCTGTTTATTTAAGTAAAATAAATGAGCCTGGACAGTATCACATGATTTAATATTAATACTGGGTTAGGAAGTCACGGCTTAGAGCTCAATAAATAATTTGAAGGTTGCCCTAAAGAAGGATGCTACCAAAATCTCAGCAAGTTGGATGATGATTCTCATGCTTTGTGGGAAAAATGATTCTTTTAATTTTGAAATTGAATTATTTCTTTATGAACATCACAAGAATCTGACAGTTGTGTGTTGTTCAAAACATATTCTTCCAGCTCTGATCGTATTATTGTATCAGTCTCATTTTCTTATGGCAATTAAAGCTAATAAAGTAACTTTTCCAAAGATCTTGTAGACATAAATAGGCTTTTTGAATATTTTAAACTGATAGAGAATCTTAAATTATGAAAAGTATATCATTTATTTGATTATTTCTAGCTGAAAATGAGCATTGCTGAATTGTAATTCTCAAATTTCTTTTTGGTTAGTTTTCAACAAAAAACCCTGCTGCCTAAAATGCTTAACTACCTCTATATTTTGTAAAAATAAACAAAAATAGTTTTATAATTGTTTTATCTCTCCATTAGGGAACATTAGCTATATACCATATCTTCTACTGTTCCCTTCATTGGGCCTCCTTTTATCAGCAATGTCCTTCACAACTGCAGAAGCATTTTAATATTGTTTTGCCAACTTTACCCCAAACTTATGTCAGATTTTGATAATATAATTTTTTTACTTGTTAGGTGTACTTTTGGGTAACAAGTCAGATCTTTCAGCTAGAAGGGAAGTACAATCATCTGTGGCCAAAGAGTGGGCCCAAAGCCACGGACTGGAGTATCACGAGACATCAGCGGTGAGTTAAACTGAAAATACATATTTCATTCTGAACTGTTATTGAAAAAGTTATTCATAAAGCAATGTGGTGACTTTCTTTCAGAAAGAGAGGGACAACTGTGATGCACCGCTCCTAAGTTTAGCCCAAGCTTTCCATTCTCTTTACCAGGAGCGGCGAGAGGCCATCCAAAACCTCAGCCCAGACTAAGCCTCTGCCTCTATTTCTTCACCACGGTTACATAAACCTAGAAGAAGCTGAAAACCATTAAGACTTCACAAAATGAGGAAATGACATTAAAATAATATGATTTTCAGAAAAGGATGCAGAAAGGATTTCTGGGTACTTTGATGCTTTGATGTGAATAAAGGACTGATAAAAGAGCCTGTGTTTTTTTTCTCTCTCATCTTTGTATTCTCTATGATCAGATAGCAAGGTCTGCTTTTACAGTAATAATGTTACCTAAATTACAATAAGTAAGTTATTTAGAGTAGAATAAGGCCTTACAACACCCAATGCCTCCTCCTTTTTTTATTTGATCTCACTTGTCTGCATAGATGTTCCCAATTTTGTTTTTTCCTAATTTGTATTATAATTAAGTTGGATTAATAAGGAAAATCTTTATGCTTTTAATTTTTTTTTTTTTTTTTTTTTTTTACGAGAAACAGATCTCTATCTGTTTTCAACTCTGTATTTTTCCGTTTTGCTGTGTATTTTGCCTGTACTTTTGTTGCGCTGTTAAGTCCTCATTTCCAGGCCTTCTGATATTTTTTGTCCTGTCCCCAGTGTGGCGCTCACAACCAGTAATCACCATTCTAATTAGCGCCCTCCCATTCAAACCAGGTCAGAGAAACGTACTTGTTGTCTCTTTCTGCCTCAGACCAGCTGCCATCTCTCAAATGAGGCCAGTCCAGTTAAATGCCAGGCACGCTGTTGGTTTTATATCACATCATTTGCAATGAGGAAACTGGTCTGGTTAGAGAATTTTAAACTTAAAGCAGTGTTACAACCCAAGCACAACAACATCAAATGTTTTTTTTATTTTTAACTCAGGAGAAAAAAATCTTTAGCCATATTAATAATAATAATTAGTTCTGCCCAAAGGTTTATGTATTTAAAAACAAAATCTAGGTAAGCAGATACCAATGACAAAATACATTCTCTCATTTAACGAAAACAATGTAAATTATGTAGAGTTTTGAAAGAAATACCTTTACAAATAACATTTTAAAAGTATGACAAAAAAAAAATCAATACATTTTTTATTGATTCTTGAACAAACCAACCTGCCTTATAAATCCCATAACTGGTTGCGTCACCTTTCAGCAGATACAGTGGCCATAAAGCATTTGGCTAACTGGTCGAGCATAAAGATCTTGTTTTATGCCCTGACATCACAGTAGGGCAGGGGGAAAAAAAATTATATGTATCATGACAAATGAAGCTCTAGCGGAAGTTCAATTGAAGAAACTCTGACTTACCTCCATCAATCAGAAGCCGATCCATCTCCGAAGCGAGCCAATCAGCTTCGAACTACTCCACCACGAAGCCCAATCAGCGTCCTGCTTCCACTTTATAAACTCCCTCAAATCTCACTCCAGCCGCTATCCTGCAATCGCACTGTCGGATTTCGATTCACACGACAATT